TTCCCATGTCTCTCTGGTCAGATTACAAAATAATAATAATAAATAAAATTTAATAAATATTTCTTTTTTAAAAATAAACCCTTTCATAAAAAATGTATTCCAAAGATATTTATTCCCTACTCTTAAGCCTGTCTCTGTAGATACATTTGACCATCTAGGAAAAACAGTGATACCTGACATTTCTCTAACTGAAAAGTGGCAGGCACTTTTTTTTTAAAAAGACTTATTTATTTTGTTTTATTTATTCATTCATTTATTTTCATTTGACCAGAGAGAGAGAGGGAAAGTGAGAAAGCAAGTCACTAGGTCCAGGACTTGAACCATGGTTGGCCATGTGGGAGTGTCCAGTGCCCTAACCACCATGCCACCTGCTGGTCCCATGGCAGGCACTTTAATGGGGTTGACTTTAGGATCTCATTCCTCTTCACTACATTGAGACGCATCTGTCTGTCTTTTCATAATCTATCTACAAAACCTTTTCTGTAGATGTGTGTACATGCATCACACACATGTGCATGCACACAGACACACACACACATACGAACAAAATATAAAGGCAAAGAAACACCAGAGTTAGCTCTGACCAAAGAGGAAGAAGTAAAACTTACGGGAGCTGCTGAGTTTTTTACTGTGACACTGGGGGTGGTAGCTCGCAAGGCTCCACTTACTCCGTGGTAGTATTTGAAGCAGATCTTAGTTTCAGCTGAAAGACAAAAATACAATGAGACTGAGAAGTAGAGTATAACCTAGGAAGAGAAGCCATGGCCACAGAGGACTTCTGCAGCAGCGACAGCCTGACTCTTCCTGCTAGCCGACGAGGCCACACTTGATTCTGAGGGCCTGCATGTGGCCTCAAGGTCAGATCTGACTTTTACTACAAACGTGTCATGAAAATATTTTGGCCTTAGTGTGTTGTGCCCAAGTTAAACTCATTATTTAAACTTCTAAACATGAATCCTACCACTCCTATCACATTAGAGGCTCCTGCTTTTAAGTGCTTTGTTGTAAGATTTGAGGTGGTTTGATGTGCACCACAGTCTGATTTCTTCCGTAACTTCCTACTATTTATTCATTGAGATTAATATCTTAGTATTGAAGGAAGACTTCAAGAAGTTATTGAGACACATAGATGGGGGAGCAGATTTTCTAAACTCCTATAAACATCAGTGATAAACTATTAGCATCTCAAGTTGTTTTCCTTCCTTGATCTGCAGATGTAAGCAGCTGAGATTTGGTTCGGGGGATCACACTACCTGGGTTTGAGTTTCTGCTTCATTATTTGCAACCTGTGAGAAAACGTAGTCACTTAACCTCCTTGCACCCATGTTCCTTACGTGTGCAAGAGGACTAACAGTGATACCCACTGTGTCAGGTGTTGGCTCAGCAATTACAAGGGCTTAGAGTTCATCTAAGCCCCTGCTCGGTAAATGTTAGTGATGACCATCTGATGACTAGAGACAGTGACGTGACTCCATTACTTTTGCTTCTACTCCAGTACTTTTTGGTTCTATTGAGAAAAAAATTGCAGCAAATTAGGGTTCTGTTCATTTGAAGGTGATCTGTTTCTCTCAATCAGTGAATTGTTTATGCGATTTTTTTTTAAATCTCAGAATTTATTGAGCTATGTCTTGGTCCCTTATATTACTTTTGTTTGGAACCACATGAGGAATCTCCAGCCTGAAATCTTGTTTATCAGTCTATGAATCTGTCTTAATTATAATCTTAAAAAAATCTATCTTTTTATAGCATGCATTTAAGACATACTCATTATGGAAAATAAAAATATAAATAAAATTGAAACTTCTTTCATATTCGAGAGTACAAACTATAAAACAAAGCATTTTAACTTTTGAAAAATTAACATGATTAAGTACGGTCAACTATTATTTAAAACTCTGTAAATAATATTACTTGTTCTACAGAATAATCAAATAGATTATAATTTGTACTTTTTTTACATTTGGAAATTTGAGCTTTTTCTTAAAAATGAACACTTTTTTTTCAAATTATTTTTTAAATTAAAATTCATTCCCTATGGTAATGGAGCAAACATTGCTAGATGCCTACTCAATACCCACTCTCCCCTTCCTTCTTACTAACAAATTCTGTTTTATTTTAGATGATAATGTCCAGCTAAAACACTCAGTTCTGTAGCCTCCCTTGCAGATACTACATCTGCTGTTTGTTCTTGCTATTTTCGAATATGTTACATGTTGCAAACCTAACCTAACTGCAGCAGAATTGTTCCTTGACGTAGACGGTATAAATATTACAAGATTCTTCTGTAGATTCGAAGATAGGAATATTTAAAGAATTCTCTCTTCCCAGAGGCAAGATTGCTTTCCAAACAGTGCTTCATACTTCTACCAGAAAATGTAACTCTATTTCATAGAACCTTTGTTAGCATTGAACATTATCAATTAAAAATAAGCTTAAAATAGAATCTCATTATCATTTTTATTTCATTAATTTGATTACTAGTGAAACTAAACTTTTTTCATCAAATTTTAATTAGCTATTTAAAATTATTTTTTGTCTGTTGAATTGGAGTTGTTAAGACTTCCCACTGCCTGAATAATGTCTGGGTGCCCGCCAGTCTCCCTTCCAGAGAAGGAGTCCTTATTATAGATATTTTGTTTCCTTCCTGAGTTATTTTTTACTTTGCATATCTGCTATTTCCAGCTCTTGGTGGATAAATCTTGTAACCTACTTCCATACATCTTCTCCAAGGTACTTCACAGTTGTTCCCATGTTAAGTCTAAACATCCAGACTCAAACTCTCTCAGCTTAAGAGACAGGCTTCTGGTAGATCGGGTATTATGGAGAGGCCTTGTATAAAGCAGTGAGCTATAAATCTAGTTAATCACAAGGATTTGTGTGTGTTAGTATATGAGTCACTGTTTGGAGGTGGTGAGGTGAGCATGGAGGGTTCAAATGGCCTCACCTTAAGTTCGGTTGGGTGGAAGGAACTTTTAGATAACAGGCATCCTGAACAAGCACTACTAACTTTTCATTCAAAGAAGAAAATTATTTCAATACCTTTGAGCAAAAAGGGAAGGTAAATTATACACACTCTTGCATTGAACCTTACTGTCTAGTGAGCAGATCAGTGCATATTTTAAAGTTTGTGTCTTTCATGAAAGAGAGAGGGTAAGTCATCCCCAAAGAGAGTCCTCATGGCACCACCTACCCCGTCTCAGCCAAGATCATGGGTATTTGCGTATGTGCCTGGAGTGCTCAGGAAGGTGCCGGGTCACAAACGCAGTACCTTTTCATCTGGGTCCACTTGTATTACTATTGCACCACTGCCTGGCCTTAGTTTCTTGAGAGGGAGAGAGAGAAAGAAACCCCAACAGAGTCTCACACCATGATCTTCCCTGAGTCTTTCCCAGCCAGCCAGGATCACAATTACATGTGCCTGGTGTGTCCAGGTCGACCAGAGAACCCAACCCTCTAGTCTTCCACGTGGCCTCCAGCACAACAAGACACTGCACCACCACTACACCACCATGGCTGGGCCAGTGTATGCTCTGAACCAAAATTCATGCAAACCCTCTAAGTGTGGCACTTTTCTTATGAGAAGTTTTTGTGAAATGTTGGTTGTCCTTTTTTTTTTTTTTTTTGCCTGAGAGAGATTTTAGCCATAGGGTGCACATGCTTGCCAGAAAGACAGAGAGACAGAAAGTGAGAAATTTTCCCCAAGGCAGAATGGACATGCCACAATCCCTTCTCCTCCATTCTCTTCTCAGGATTTTGGGCACACACACACATGTGCCCGGAGTGAGGTTTAAGCGGCCAGGTCCGGGACTTGAACCACGGTCGATGATATGGGAGTACAGTGCCATAACCATTATGCCATCTGTTGGTCCCAAGTTGTCCTTTTTTCATAAAGAAGTATTTTGATAGTATGTTCTAGGGTTTAGCAACTTGAGAATTAATGGATTTCCCTTTTATTTAATCTAAATATTTCCTGCAGTTTAAAATGATTTCCCATTTAAACATCAAGAGATATGAAATTATTTTAAATTTCTTCTTATTTATGTGTGTGAAGGGAAGTTACCATAAACACACGCAACAGTAAAATATTTACGTAATTTATTATATATATTTTAAATCACTTCCTTCCATGCTACTTTGCTCTTATTCCGGTGACAATTGCTTGAAGTTGATCTGTTTAATTAATCTGATGTTTAGTTTTTACAGGAGAAGGACTGAGAGTGGGTACTACTTATCTTTGTATCTCTGGTGTTGTATAATATAGGGTCCTCCATAAACAACTGCTGAAAATAATGAATGAACTAGGTATCACCTGATTGACTCCTCTGCTCTATTATCAACCCAAGAGCAGATACGGTGTCCTGGTGGGCCCTCATTCTTGATAGAGAACACACATTTTCTATAGCCTATTATATGATGTTTAGAATTGATTCCAATGTAGACAAATTGTCGCAGTTAGTAAGTATTGCTCTCTCAGAAAAATATCAAGGCTCAAAGGCCAAAGAATAGTAAAGTGCTTTTGGTTATTATTTCAGATACTTCATCGAAGGAAACCTACAGTAATCCTATCTTTCTCTGGTTTTTTTTTTTTTTTTTTTAATTTTTCTTTTTTCTCGTTTTTGCTACAGGGAATGTGTGCTCTCTGGAAAGAAAAAGAGAAAGGGAAAGCAAGGAATCACTCTCGCCCCTCAGTGGAGGAGGGCCACACTGCAATCCCTTCTCCATTCTCTAGGGATTTGGGGCATATATGCACATGCACCTGGTGTGATTTCCAAGCTGCTGTGTCCAGGACTTGAACCACAGTTGGCCTTGTGGGTATCCAGTGTCTTAACCACCATGCACTTGCTGACCCCTCTCTGCTTGTTTAGATAAAATAATAATTCAAAAATCCTCGCAGAGCCTGACACCAGCCATCTCTACTCTAGTAGTTTCAGTGTGTATGTGTAGTAGCTACGTATGTAGTTTCAGCAGTTCAGGAGGGCGAAGTGATCTAGGCTGGGGGGGGGACTGTTGGATCAAATAAAGGAAGTCCCATTCTTGACTCAGCTCTCCGTAGTGGGGCGAGTTACATGGACTCTCTGAACTTCAGTCTTAGAGTAAAATGGCAACGCTATGGCCCGTTTTCTAGGTACTGTGTCATATACGGCTGTGGTGCAGAGCAGATGAAATAACATGTAAGATCCAGTACACACGTGCACACAACATGGGCAACACATGAGCTGCCTTCGTTGACAGACGGGGCTGACTCACACAGCTGTTCCGGGTGGTCCTGTGAGTCTATTCAACCACAGAGTGAGTGGGGAGTGGAAATTCAGCCCACTCTCCACTCACCGAAGGGTACGGTTCTTTGCCCTTCAGGAGGAAAAGGTGGACATCATAACCCTTCATAGGTTAGCGATGGCCTGAAACAGATCTGTTGATAACATTTTGCTTGTTTTTTCTTGGCTCATAATTTCTTTGAAAATTTGCCCAGATCATTCACAAAGTGGAGCAAAGTTACCATTTCCACTTCTGTAGATGATCGCTGTGTATGTTCGCAATTGTCATCTTCATTTTGGGGTCATGTATTAGGAAGTACAGCTTCTATAACTTCTAGAACTTCAGTTATAGAATCGCTGAAGTTATAAAGAAAAAATAATTGTCTTTTTTTTTCTTTCCTATACTCTAGAGAATCGATAGGCCTGTTGTAGCATTTGAGACATTAGT